TTTTATTTTTTGGTTTCTTTTATTTTTCAGAAACGATGGAGAAGTTAATAAAGAGGGAAAAAGAAGTCTCTACACTCACTTCCCAGGTGGATGCTTTAAAATCCCAGATTGGAGGTAAATCTTATTGTTAAAGATCTTCTTTCCTGCAGGTTTCAGAATAAATGCTTCCCTTTATAGATGTTTTATATAACTAAATATAATTCAAAAAATAACCCTTTAGCATATTCCTTAAAAAACATTATTAGTGAGATATGCAGAGAAGCACCACATACCAGAGGATATACTCTCATATTATGTTGTGCCAACAGATTCAGTTCAATTCTATTCAGTTTATTTCTATAGCTCCGATTCACATAATGTGAATGTGATCATCCAGTCAGATTGATTCAAAGTTTTCAATCTAAGGAAAACCAGCAGCAACCTGTTGAGGCTAATGGTGGTCTGTAGAGGGGGGGTCAGTGTCTGCCTCCTGGACGTCTGTCTAACAGGAGGCTTAGTGGTTAATTAGCAGTTTACTGTGTGACACTATGAATTATATTAAACCTTTAAACATTCTTCAGATTTGTAGAGATGTACCTGAATGTGTGTTTCTGTTCACCAGCAGACAGGCAGGGTTCACTATGGGGTTCTTTGCAGCTTCAGCCTTTGATCATCACCCAATAATCTTTTGAAAAGCTCTGTGACATCAAACAGACTGGAAAAGGGCTTGATGTCGCCCGGATAATCAAAATGACACCCGCTGAGGAATGGATCATTAATCATTCACAGAGAAAAGAAAACGACACACACACACACACACACACATATATATATATATATATATATATATATATATATATATATATATATATATATATATATATGGGTTGTCTTTTTAAAGTGTAGAAATATGATTTCATTGTTTTATAGTTTCCTTCAGAGCCTAAGTTAATGAATTAGGTGAAAATGTTCATTAATCTGAATAAACTGGAGGAAAACCTTTAGCTTGTAGTCTGATGTTTGTGGAAATCGTTCAACAGCTTTTAATTCAAGTTTTGGTTAGAGCAGACATTTAGTTAACAGGATTTTCTTTAGGGATTTTCTTCAAAAATAAAACTGCAGATTTATCTTTTTTGGAAACCATTTTAGTTAGAAACCTTAAATGACTTAAAGGTATCATGGAGGTTTTTGAAGACCCACCCTCTCCACTTTAACACTAAATGCACATGCACAACCCTGTACCCGCTCCTGAGAGGGAACGCCTATTAAACAAGTGTGAGAACGTGCACAAGCCTGTTTCACCTCGTGCACGCTCTGTTTAAAAGTTGCTGTTCTCATACTAGCTTACTATCTGTCTGTCCACCTTAACCCCTAAATCCCTCCATCACTATATAGT